CTGGCCACATCACGTGAAATATGGTATTCGCAGCTCGTCAACTGCGGAATTGCCGTGAACGACACCATCCATCGTTCTCTCTGTTTGTCGACTTCATTAAGGTATTTGACGCAGTGATCCGCGAGGCATTGTGCCAGGTGTTTGGTAAATCTGGTTGTCCATTTTTAATTAAATGTCTGCACAATGTAATGCGTGCAGCTGAGTAGACAAACCTCAAATGAATTTGATGTTGCCTCTGAGTTGAGGCATGGCTTTGTCTTTGCTCTTGTCGTGTTTAATGTGGTGTGTTTTTGGTGCTTGTGGTTTCGGTGCCCGTGTTGTTGGTTTGTTGCTGAACATCCGTCGTTTCGTGGCGAGGATCCTGGTGTGTGAGACCACTATCTGCATGTTACGGTTTGCCGACGGCTGCGCCTTGTTTGCAGACACACACTGAAGATGGACTGCAGCGCATGACGATGGCTCTCGCTTCAGACGCCATCAACCGTGACCAGAATTGGAATTCGTACTCTTGCCGAAAACCCACTTTGCAGTTATGGTTTTGCTTCTTGGGGAGCGTACTTTCGATCGACCTCCAAATGACGAGATAGCTGTGCTTGCGGCTATCGGATGTGGGTGCTGTATTTGGCCGCCTGGGAAATCAGGTGTTGAAGAATCGCTAGCTGATCGTTAGTCCCAAACTGTTGCTATACACCTCGATGCCTCTCTCCGTTCTTTTGTATGGCAGCGGAACCTAAACGAAGTACAAGAAGGACATCCGTTATCTGGAGCACCTCCGTCAACATTGCCTGCGTCGTATTTTGAGCATCGGCTGTTGTTTCAGGGTTGCTGACACGGAGGTGCTCCGCCGCAATGGTAAATATGCGGTGTGCTGCACACTTCTGCCACGGCACCTAAAGTGGTTCGGGCATGTCCGCCGTATGGATTCGACTCGGAGACCGAAACAGCTGATTTGTGGTCAGTTGCATGTAATGGAACGGAACGTGGCCTCCCGAATTGAGTAGTATTCCATTCGATGCTGAGTTTGCCATTACATCAAACCTTTCATACAGCTGTACCTTGTGAGTCGTCCCAGTGGGTCGTCAACCATACATGGCCATGTACCTGCCACCTTTAACCCTATTTTTCTGGGCAGTTTCTTGGTGAATTTATACCATTTTCCCGGTAAGTGGTGTCTTAACCTCAGACTAGAAACAACATCAGCAGTGCACCGGTACGCAGTACCGGTGTTTTGCTGCCCACGCAACCACCAACAGCCGCACGTCGGCAAAGAATATTGCGGGGATTGTCTAGTCCTTACGCTGGCTCGAACCCGAGCCTTTGGAGTAAATAGCAGGCATGTAATGCCCGGCAGCGTAACCTTAATCAGCCTGAGACCGTTCCAGCTGTAGCGGGTTGAAATTGAAATTATTGTCAATCGCTCAGCAACGATGTTGTGTGAGTATGCGTCCTGGTGAATGTAATGTTCTTGCTCTGATGTTTCCGCTTCTTCAGAGGAAAATGGTTGAAACACAGGGACTCAGTAAACATGAATCCTTCGTTTCTAGTCAGACTTACGAATTTTCTTACGTTTGTTATACTCTTTCGAACGTCCCAAGAGATGTATGGAAATATGCGCACCTCATGTGATGATTGACGGACCTTAATGCCTCTTTGCCGTTAGCGGAACTCACTATCACTCATAGTAGTCGAAGTTCACCGCAATGCGCTGTTTTTCTTTGATGTGGGACTTGTCTCAATGTCGCGGAGTCTGTCGAAATACCAACTGCACCACAAGTGGAATTTCACTGATTACTTTGGTCCATCTACTTCCCCATTATGGTATTAGACTGCGATTCCTGAGTCTTTGTACAAACAAGATTTAAGGCATCGTGATTTCTTCTTTTGGCTGCATATTTGAGGGTACGAAATGATATGGTTTTAAATGATTTGGTAGGTTATGGAGGCTGCATCACCGTTATATTGTTTGTGCTGCTGCTATAGTCCAGTTGTGGCGTCACCGATGTGTGTGGAGGCAATCGTTGCTTACAGTGCCTGACTTTTCTCTGTGCTGGGCCGTCTAGTGCTCGGAAGTGCCATCATCCCTCCGAATTGATTTGTGCTGCACCACTGAATGGAATGGAGGAGGCCCACTCTGAGCTTGGCCGCTCGTGGTGAGCCGCCGAGATATGTGACGATGCTCCAACAGCCGACGCAAAGTTAAGATGTGATCGATCCAGCTACGACCTCTACGAAACCAGGCTTGTACTTCACGAATCTGGCTTTCAAGGTCGCCAGGAAGTCTGTGAAGAATGACAGGCAGCAATTTGGAGGCGATTGAGATCTGACTGGTTCCGCATTCCTTGAGGATCGGGACAATAGTGGAGCGGCTCCAGTCGGTTGGGACAATTACCTGCTCCCACAGTTCCACTAGTAACTCGTGTAAATCATTCCTTATGACAGGTCCCCGAATTCGAAGAGGGCTAGAGGAAGATCACCTGGTCCCACGGATTTATTCAACTTCCGCAGTGTTGTCTCGCGTTTGACTTCTGAGCGAGGGGGCGGATGCAAATGGACAGCCCAGGTAGCAGGACGATCATTAGCCGCTCAGAAATCTAACAATTAGGGCCGATTAAATTGCCTTTCAGAGTGCTCAGCCCTATGCTGCAAGTGTTTCGGCAAGTTTTGGTTAGGCTGTGCACTCTCATCACCTATAGTTTCAATAACAGCAGGTCTCCTGCTACTCGTTTCCCGTATCAGACAGATTAATTTTCTATGGTTACCAAGGGCAGCGGTCACTTCCATTTCTGACACACGATGAGGCCACCAAGCTTCGCGGTCTCTCTTCAGGCTAGCCTGAAATATTTTTCGGAGGCTTTTGCGAGTCTCATTTTGTTCGCTTGCAGCCGGAGTGTGCTGGCGAAAATCCTTGAGTTCCAGAGACTGCGAAACCCAATGTCCACGTGGGCTATTAGACTTATAATATGAGTTTTGCTTGCTGCTAGTAAGGTCTGGTGCACATGACACCATTGACCTTCAATTGTACCCAGTGACCGCTTACTCAACCCGCATGTCAGCGCACTTCGCTACGGATTCAGAACATGTGGCTTCGCCAGTTGACTAGTGTCTATGCACTTACAAGGGCGTGTAGAACGCCAGCCAAAACGCGCCCGCAGATCAGTGCATCCAAGTGAATGGTCAGTGTCCACACATGTGCTCCAAACAGAGCGACAGTTTTGGACGCAACCACTCCAGCGGTTGCTGATCGATTTCCGTTCAAGGCTGGTCTAAGGCTGGCGGGCACCATGGCACCCTTTGGCGGGTGCTGTGTTCGAAGTTAGTGCTCACAAGAAATAGGTGGGCATCTTCACACAAATGAAATGGTCCTTCACCTTTATCGTTTCACGAGCCTGCATCCTGTTGACCGCGCAGATGCATTTCATCAGTGGACAACTTTCCAACTTGAGCGTTCAGCTCCCCAACCTGCACTTCAGTGTTCGTGCATGTTCTGTGGCGAAGGAGCTCGTTCAGTTAGCGACCGAAGTCGTGTTTTACCGTATCATCGCTACCGTTTGTGGCGCGTAGTTAGGGATGACGAATGGACACCTACCTTTCCCACGTGACTTCGAAGCTTTGAAGGAGCTCGTCAGTCGGACTTCACTCATTCGGCTACTGATTGAGATCCAATAAACCAGAGCAGCTTCAGTCCTGGGATTCAAGACACTACCAACACCGACTTGGTCGCTACTCGAAGCTGCATCGTCTCCGGATAGGTGCAATTAGAAAGTACTGCTAATGTCATCTGAAGGGGATCGCGGCGTTAGCGCGGAGCTCGATTACTGCAGACGGGTTTCTGATAGGCAGCAGATATCGATCTAGTGGTTGTCTACCGTTTGGGCTAGTGCTTCCTGTTAACCGATTTCTAATAATATGCGTACGTTGAGGCACACCAATCTGGGGGAGGATCGAGGGCTCTAAATTGTGGCCGATGAACTGGGCTTGACCACCTGGTAGAACATGGTCTTGTCGAAAGGCTAGAGTGTCGCTCTGCGTTTGCACATGAGTCGAAACTAGGTGGGAGAATACCTGGAATTGTAGGGTTGAAGACGGGGGATATGCACTTGGAACTAGACGATAAGAATGAAAAAGTGTAAGAGGGGGAATCAGAAAACGGGAAGTCTGAAGCATTAGCATCCAAGCCCCCTATCCACCCCACTTGATGCAATAGATAGGGCTCCATTGATTATCCTATGCGACGGCCGGAGCATCAAGAAGTGGTTTGAAGATGTCATAGTTTTATTGCAGGGGCAGGATATTGTCAGGTTGCCCATGCCTAAATAGGAGAATGATTAATGTTTTCAACCAAAGTCTTCGATTCAAAAAGCAAAACCGCAAGACAGCGGGTTTCGCAGGGGAACTACAAGGAGTTCGTTTTAGGAGGGCCAAGGGACTACGTTTGTCTGACTAGTCTGGTATGAGTGACTCTGAAGGTGCAATAAGCACCACCCAGCACAGTTCAGTGGATCACTGAGGCGCGCAAACTATCGCACGAACTTTGTTATGGTTGTATGGCAGCGAAGCATCAGTTCAACTGGCTGATTATTGTTATTATTTTATTATTACTATTGTTATTATGCGTATGGAGCAGCTAACAGTCGTTTATACTAAGGTAAAGCTATCCGACTGCGGTGTTCGCTTTGATGTCGTTCCGATAGATCTCTTTTTGCTCTGCGCTCTTTGGATGATGTACTTGAAGATAAATATTGGATTCCCCGATTAGTATCTAATATTTCTGTGCTGTCGCTGCTACCGATGGACGCCTCAGTCTAGCTTCCATGTTACTTGATCTTCAAACATTGTAAGTCCTTAATTCACACCACGAATCCGCCAATTTGGTGGCCATCATTTACTATCTGTCGTGTTGCAACTTGTATGCGCTGATTCTACTAAACCATTACCTATTCGTTGTCTGTTTTTCCTTCTTCATTGGTCCCCATTGGATCTTTTTCGCTTCCCTACTTCAGAGCAGCGCCCCCATGCATGTGAACATTGTGGCAGATCGTATTCTGAGAAGCGCAGTTTGCAAGGACACATCAGTTCTGTTCATTTAAGTGAGTGTGCAATTGATCGTGCCAGTTACTCTTACTTTGTATCATTTGCGTTGTGTTATCTTTGTTGGTATCGTGTGCTTTTGGTGGTACCAATCCTGCTGAGAATATGACAACTCTTTGTTTTGCTCTCATTTTCCTCTGAAACATTTTGGTCTGCAGAATGTTCAGTTCTGTAACTAGCTACCGTAATATGCAGCGCGCGAATCAATTCATTTGACTCTGCACTTGATTTTATTGTTGGCGGTATCCTGTTCCGGATTTCCTTGTCAATGGGGCTGCGAACATCAGCACTACGGCTGCGTCTTAATGAGGGACTACGGATGGCTTGCGCTACACAACCTGCAGCTTCATCTACACACCCCATGTCTGGTGTTGCTTCGATGGTGTATGTATCGATGATATATTTCTCGGCGATACGAGACATTCCCGTCGCTGAAATCACATGACATCGTTTATCGATGCGGGGTTACAAAGGATTTCGAACTAACTGAGTAACTGGTAAAATTAACAAGTGAAGACCTTGTCCTGTGTTCACATAAAGTAATACGGTCATCCGTTGAATTGTCTGCAAGGGACATGCTTCCACGCGGAGGATTCTCTCGAAAACTTTCACCCGCACTTCCATGCGGGCATGTACATCAGCACCATTTTGTATGCATGGATTTTGGACGATCATGCAGCCCAGCCCTTTCCATTATTCGGCTCATTTCGCGCCTGGCACTTGTTTCTAAAGCTTAGTGAGCGCATGGCATTTCGCCTTGTACGTGAATAATTATTACCCTGGACGCTACAATCCTTCACCTCAGGTGATCAGCGCAGTCGTGGCCAACCATGTAATGAGGATGGGTGCAAGTATGAACAGTTGAAACAATAGTTTTACACAAGTCGGTTCCCAATAAGCTGAGACACGCTTCGTCCCACTTGCATCGATCATAGTCCGTGGAGCGGACATGTTGTCACATCCAGCTGCGCGTCAGGGTTGCTTCAGTCCCGACACTCGCTTCTACAGCTGGTACACCACTCATCTGAACGGGTTGAAACGTGCTTTACCAGACGTGCACAGGGCAGTGGTTGGATCGTACACTGGATGTAGAACCTCTTTCAGCCAGGCACTGTGCTCACCGAGGAACATCTCACGGTATGTTCTGGCTGGCTTGCCGAACAACCTCCTCGTGGTGCCAGCTGGGTGGTTCGGGATTTTCCCGTTCCAGCAAATGGTTCGGCGGCAGTGTTCCAGGACGTGGTGGGTTTTTGCCTGGCAAGCGTTCTCCCTATAAAAAGCCACATATGTCCGTTTAACAAGACTGTGACGTGGCGGACGTGACTCGCCACTAAATAAAGTCACTGCCCCTTGCTTCATCCTGGCGAAGCATTGTATTCCAGCAGCCTTATGCTGTACTTCTGGGGAGCATTGGGCCCCTGTTTGACAAAGGAACAAACGAAAGGCGTATGAACTGAGCAATCAGTCACCGGCTCCCAATGGGCGCGATTCCCTGAATTCGCTCCGCTGCCTTGCGGGCAGGCTATTCAGCCAAAGGCTCGGGGTGGTGTCCCCTAAGTCAACACCCTACTTCGGCTTGGGCAACCGGGTAGTATCTCGCCCTCTGAGGAAACCATGGACATTGTTGTGTTGTGTTTTATTTTACTGTTTATGTACCTTCGTTTGAATCCCATGGTTTCTGATGGCATTATGTCTGTTAACAGACTTTTGCAAATATATATATATATATATATATATATATATATATATATATATATATGTTCTGGCTCGAAGCCCTTACCGATCACTGCTTTTGCATTTTTACATAGCACACATCCATCTGGCGCTCTCCCCGTGTTAGGTGTTCGGTTGCTCCATTTTTTACCGGCACTGTTGTGTTCTTGGCTGCTGGCGCAATCATACCTACTTTTAACTTACCACACCCCTGGGTTCACTGAGAGCGTCAGTTTTCATTGCCCACTTTTACTCGTAGGCAATTAGGCTGTTCGGTGTGGTGAATCCATTTGCCATGATCCGCATGCTTATGATGTGGATGCCTAGCCATGGATAAAGAGGTGGAATACAAAAATATTACCCAAATAGAAGCTTGGAAAAAAGCTCAAAGGTCATCGTAATCGGATATCATCAGCTACATGTCGGACACTTAACACAAGTTCATCACTCGTGTGGACTGTCACGAGGCCTCCGGCAGCGAGAACTACAGGTAGCCATCTCACCGATTCTTCCCTCCCATTTTTAAGATACTGTTATACTACATCGTTGGTTGGCCACGTCTGAGTCGGCGACAACCGGGTGCGGCGCCCCGGATATTGCACGCCGATGAAGATGATCACTGGGCATACGAACGATCTAGCCAACGTATTTGATTCAAGTTCGACAGGCGCTTCAGCTAGGCACCAGAGGGCATTTTGACAGAAACTAACTGCCGAACCTTAAGGGAGTTAGCACCCTTTGGCTGGCAGCTTGGATCAGTTGGTCCTAACGCAGACCAAAGCTTATTGGCTAACCAGTGAGAGCGGTCGGCGGTGATGTTTCATCTTGAACACTATCGGTGAGGATGGTCTACCTTGTAGCCCACCTGTGAGTGTTTGGTCATTACCTTTCTGACCATTGATTCGACCACAGTATTTGATTGTTTCTACTGTTTGCCCAGGTTTCCAGTACAGTTTTCTCCGGAGGTTTCGTTTTCTGGTCTGGTAAGCCGGTCGGTCAGCTTTAGCAGTTTATCCGTACAATCAGCGGAAAACACAACAAACCCCAGCAATACTCACTCCATGTTCCTACCATCTGTGTGTCATATTCCGGGAGCACCGGTGGTCAAACGAGGCCAGTCGTTGCATGCTTTCAATCTGACATTGCCAAGTCTCTGATCTACGCAATAACACCTATCATATCGCAGTGTGATAAACCTTGCTTTTTCCTGACATGTTGATATCACACTCTTTAGATGGTGAAGTATCTGTAAAGCCACAAGGCTTCGGTGGAACGCGAAATAAAATGTTTAGTGATATGCGCTCTGGTGACACAGTTGTCATGATCCGTGAACCATCCACGACTTCTAGTGGCTGTATAGTCAGTACTAGAATCGGTGTCCTATCGGTTCAGTCATGCAGCAACTCTTTTCTTCAAATGGAAAAAGCACATACCACATCGTTAGTTCAAAGGGGACTGCTGTTGTTTCGAAAATAAGTTACATCCTGGGGATCTTCTCATAAAATTAGTTGACTCTTTTTGAAGATTAAGACGACATTTGGGCGTCGCCAGTCTCAAGGCAATTCTTCTGAGTCCTAGATAGCGTTGGGTATAGCAGCAAGTGCAGTCAACAGTTAGTTACCTCCATCTTTCAGCGAAGATGGAGGAAGGTCATCGTGTCCATTGGCTTATTTTTTTAATTTAGCGAGTTCCTGTCGAGTCTGTTCCAAAGTTGGACATATAAGATCAACGTTCTACGAGGGTTTAGACGACTGAGCAAGCGATGGTGTGGCATTAGGCCTGTTGAACTTTTGAAAATCTTTGAGCCAGTTGAATCGTCTGAGAGCGAACCTAATGCCTATCATCGACTCATAATTACCGTTTAAATCAAGGTTATTTTTGATCTCCTGAATTACTTGATCCGACCAGCGACCGCTCGTTAGCTCATTTGAGACTGGGGTAAGTGGCAGTATCCGATGGGTGAAAGTTTGGTACCGACGCCGGCCCATTTGACCACATTGCATATGGGATGCGAGAAAGCGTGAACAATTCTTGCCATATAGTCCACACTAACCCAAGCCAACGGACAATTTCATTTGACATACCGGCGTCTTCCGTATCACCTGTTTCTTCTCCGTCGCAATTATTGTTGACGAGCAGCTGTACAAATGCGTCATATTCATCTCTGAAGTGAAACTTCACATCCTAGAAGACGAGCGCAATGCACCGAAGAGGTGGTTGGCGCTCTGTGGCTGTACTGCGCCCCATCATTCCGACGTGGAAGCTCATGGTACGCATCTACAGATCTTTCAGTCAGTTGAATTTATACATCTCAACTTTGACTTTGATTTTGTCGCTCTGTTGAGGTTCCCTGAAGCTTATTAAACTCACTTTACGGTATTGGTGTTGGCATATACAATGTTGACCGAATCTTTTCAAATTCTGTTAGTCGTTACAGCGTGCTCCTGCCGGTTGGCATGTTACTTCAAGGGTACGCTTTGTCTTTGAACACCACAGTGGAAACAGGACATAGTTCATCTCCTGCCATACCAATACTGTCTGTAATGTTTATCAGTGGAGGAGGCTGCGCCCTTAGGACCGTGCTAGTTTACGGTTACTCCGCTTCTTTTATTCGGAATCTTCGTGCCAGTTTATCACGAATAAAAGAGTATCCTTGTGAATATCCGTGGAATATTCCACGGATTTGCTGTCATTACGGAAAAAGAGATATGCACCACTTATTCGAGGATCAGGCGTATCGATATCTGTGGTCATGCGAAATCCGCTTAGCTGGGTGCAAGCTGACATCGTCATGGCAGTGGTCTAGTCAAGGTGTGAACCCTGCCTCAATCAGATTCACCCTTTATGGGTACCACGTTTGTTTTTGCTGCAAGTGTAGATACCGCTCAGTGTGTTCTCACTATGCTCAACAATGCCCATCCTACTTATCGTTTCACGTGTTAACTACAAAACAAACAACTTTCTGACTTTTCTAGATGTATTGTTGACCAAACGAGAAGACGGCTTAGTTAACGAGAAATCCACCTGAACTGGGCTGTGAGAACTGCAAGAGCCTCAAGTTGGTCCAGTACAAGCATTGCCTTGTCAAGCCGCAGTTTGATCGGGCTCGTAGAATATACAACGCTAATTGTATTGAGTCGAAATAGTCGTTCATCACACAGACATTGCGCGCCAACGAATATCCCGAAGCATTCATTGGATTAAACCGTCACCCGAAGGAAAACAAACTACCATGTTTAAAATGCCTGTCTGTCTGCAGTTGTTTTTAACAGTTTTCACTTCTGCA